ATCGTGGACATTCTTAATCGAATATACTCTATCTCTTCAGCAGAAAAAAAGGCAATTTCCATAAAATCCGTTGCCTGCTTATGACTCTTCACTCATCTTAAAAAGATCAAACATGTGCCTAAATCTCCGCCTTTCAACTTCCGCATCAGCAATCTGGGACTCGTTCTGCTCTTCAAGCAATAACGCCGCGGCTATGGATTTCATTCTTATAATTATGTATCCACTTAAATTTTATTTTTAAATTACAGTGATGCTGGGTATATTTAGTTATTTTAAAATATTTACAAACTTTAACTTCATATGCTGCTATAGTTTGGTGGCAAATATTTCTTTGTTTTGTTTCGATTTCACACATTCCTAGGCAAACAGCTGATTTCGAAAGATGTTTTCTCTCTTCCTCTTCTTCTTTCGTTTCGATCGTACCGCAGAATACCTAAGTACGATTCCAGCGGAGCGGAATGCGGGAACGTAATCGAAATGCAGAATAGGGCTGAATAAGATCAACGGGAATAAGGTCAGTTGACTTTATTTCCCATCCTGGTGCGAAATAAAGTCAATTGACATTATTACCTTTTCAAAAGCGAAATAAGGTCCATTGGCATTATTGCTCTTTCAAGCATTAAATTTACTTAGCTTCACGGCGGCCCGCGTTGATCTTGTTACCTGTCACCGCTTAATTAACTTATATACATAAAGGCAAAGGTGAAGGTGAATATCGCCGCTTGGCGTGCATTACCGCGTATACCTATACCCAAAATGCCAAAAAAGACTGCAATTGCGCGTATATTTAAACCAGCTTTGTACTGCGGTACTTGATGGCCGCTGTGGTGTAGTGGTAAGCAGTGCGCGCTTCCACTCCGCAGGGCTGGGATCAAGCTATGGGCAAAGCAACATAGCAAAAAAATATAGAAAAAGGGTTTTTTCTTAACAGCGGTCGTCCCTCGGCAGGCAATGGCAAACCTCCGAGTGTATTTCTGCCATGAAAAACAGCTTCTCATAAAAATACAATCGCCGTTCGGAGTCGGCGTAAAACTGTAGGTCCCTCCGCTTTGTGTGACAACATCAAGGCGCACGCCACAAGTCGGAGGAGAAGCTCAGCCAAACACGAACATATGTGTAAGCGCCAGTCTATTATTATTATTATTGTACTGCGGTTTGTACGACTTTTATCAGTGAATTATTGCTTGTATATTGTGAGTAAAACATAATAATAATAAATTACGCTGTTGGAAAATCGTTAAGTTTTGATTTGACATAAAAACGCCGAAATAAGTAAACTTAAGTTTTAGGCGTAGATTACCATATTTCAACACCTATTCCAACTGTATTTCAGAAAAAAACAATTCAAAAAAGCTGAAATTAATTTCAGAAAAGTTCAAATGAGTTTCAAAAAACCTCAAAAGTATTTCAGATATTTCAATTGTTTTTCAGAAAAAGTGAAATGTATGTCAGAAAGTCTCAAATGTATTTCAGAAAATACACGTTTAGGAGCCTATTCCCCCATGTTAAATTCGATGGAAAATATATGGCCAAAAATAAAATAGTCCCTTAAGTGAATATGGCACCTCCTACGATATATGGATGATGAGTAATAGAAAGGCGTTTGCAATATATAGAAGAAATTTTTCGTCATGCAAAGGAATACTGTCGCTTTAGCAGATAGTTCTCGCGCTATATAGGGTGCGTGACATGCCAGTTGGTATGTAATCCCAAGCTCGTCCTTTTCAATAAATTTCGCACCTTTTCAAGTGCTGCTTTGTTCGTCCTTGTAATTTGGTTTCTTATTGGTCAGAAGAGGCTGTACTATTTTGGTCTGCTCTCAGAAATTTGTACGTTTCTACAATGAAAATACATTTAAATTTTTCTGAAATACATTTGGCTATTTCTGAAATACATTTTATGACTTCACATAAAATTACGACTCTGTTTTCAAATGTTAATAAATTAATTTGTCAAAAAATTATCACAAAGTTTGGTGGCTGCGAAAAAATAAAAATTGGGCGTTTTTCTCAAACCCATCATCTTGTGATAAAGAATATCATTCTCTTAAACTCACAATAATTTACCAAACAACTACTTGCTAGATGTTAATAAAATAGCCTTAAATGAACGCGAATCGCTTAAAATTATATAACAAAACGATAAAGTGAAAAAATTAAATTTTCACTGATAGACATTGAATTTTTTTATTTTCACTTCACAGTTTCATAGAACCAGAATTGGCCCCAGATTATTTAACGATTTTCAATTTTATGAAAAAAAAAATCAAATTTTGTCAGAGAAAAATTTAAACAAGAACATTTTTTGTAAAATTTTTTCATTGTAAGCCTATCTAAGCCTATTTATTTATGTATAAATATGAATGGGCAAAGGAAATGCTTAATGATTTTTTAGATAAAATATGAGCAGGAAAGAATGTTACTTATACGCCATGTACAAGGCCACACTCCTACATGGCGTATGAGTAACATATTCCAGGCTAAAGTTGGATCTTTTTTTCAACTTGGGAAACTGACCTGTTCTAGAAAAGTATCCGTAATCTACGACCCAAAATTAAGCTTATGTGTCTCAGCGCATTTTTGTGTCATTTTAGCATTCGTACAGTGAAAAAAGGTGCAACAGTTTTGTTAAAAATTGTTTGTTTCTCCTATAAAATTTGGATGGTATCATATACGGGGTATTGCATTTTGCGTATACGCGGTATTGCATGGCAAACGATGATATGCAGATGAAGAAAAGAATAAACATAAATGTAAAACTAAAGATAAATATAAGGGAATATAAAAATACTGATAAAAGTAAAGATAAAAGAAACTTAAGGATTAAGATCAATGTAATTGTAACGAAAAGGGTAGAGATAGGGGCCCTTATTATGAGCTGCATTCGATTTTCGATCTTCGCTGGTTATCGAAGATCGAAGATCGAAAGTGAAATTCGTATTATGAGCTATGCAAGCGTGTCGAAATTTTCGTTGAGTATCGAATTTTCTGTCGAACATAATTTTGCTTTCGATGGTGTAGCGAAGTGTTAGAAAATTGTGAAAAATGTATGATTTTGTATATGTTTTCTTACATTTTGGCGGCTAGACACTAATTTTAAACAATTTTTATTAATTTCATGCAGTTCTAACATCGTGAATACTAAACACAAGCTCGAAAGGTTGGTTTTACTTGATGTGAAAGAAAATCCCAATACTCTGTTGGCGCGATCTCTGAGAACAAAATCGTAGCGCTGTTGATAGTTTTAAAATATTTTAAATAGATTTGGCTCACAACCGCCACTTTAGATGGTCAGAACTTTTTAATGAATCTGTAGACAAATTTCTTAAATATATATTTTATAACAAAATATATTCGAAAGACTAATAAACTTAAACTCTCTTAAACATTTGCTACTCCTGGCCAGTTTACTAAGCTCTCATCCTCTGACGAATCGTTGAACCCCAGAACCTCGTTGTACTCATTTTACCACGTTTTTATAAACTTGCTTTCTTTTTTACTTCATTTTAATTAGAACAAATTTACATAAATATGTATAAGCACACTATTTAGTTTGCTCGATTTGTAAACATTCTTCATCGAATGAGCGCCATAATACCAAATGAAAATTCGTTCGCTCAGCACTTTCGACCACAGTCGAAAATCGAATGCAACTCATAATAGGGGCTAGGGATAAAGATCGAAAAAAGATAGAGATAGAAGCTGATAGATATAAAGACGGACAGACTTTTTTTTTGTTAACTACGTTAAGTATGATCAGTGGCGGATTCACGGGACGATCGAAAAATAATATTTCAGTAATATGCCTTTAGAAAACAGTAAGTATGCACAATAAAGTTATAAAACACTCAATTTTTCTTTGGTAATTTTAAATATATGACATGTGCATATGTACAGTCAGTGACAAAAGGAAAATGTACACCTTGTTCTAATATAATATTCACAATTATTTTCATGAACAAATTTTTTTAAAACATAGCGTAATGAAAATTATTTTTATATGGAAAAAATGCACAACACCGTCGGCGAAAAAATTCTTAAAAATCAACGCGATTTCCTAACGTTATGAACATTGTACTTTTACCTACTAAAATTGAATGGGCTATAAAACTGTGTACTCAATAAAATTCTAGCACTTCCGAGAAAAAAGTTTGAAATTTGGGTGAAAATTTGTTGCAATTTTTTCGGTCTTCTAAAAAGTTTAAATCTTGGGTTTATATGGGTTTTGTTAGAGAATGAACTGTATTTTAATTGAAAATTCCTAAAAATAAAGAAATAAACATGAGTGGGAATCAATATCACTTTGAAATGGGGGTGCTATTGTATTGGCCAATACTGTATGTATCAACCCCATTTTTGGGAAGTTAGGTTATATATTAGACTCAACATATTTCCTTATCAAGTTTATTAATTTAATAATGAAATCTCCAAACACGAAAATTTCAAATTATAACTCTTAAACGTGCGATATGTCTTTTGTGCAAGCTATAGTGCATATACACATGTATGTACAAAACAACATATGTATGTAAGTACCTACGTACGATACATATTAGAAAGCCATTATTACAGCCTCTCGGTCCAAGCTCCTTAGTATAACTAAATAAAAAAACACACACCAGCTACGTCACTTGTTCAGCAATATTTCTCCTTTTCGGATAAAATGGGGTACTCCAGCGCATGTCCAATTGCCCCATGAAGCACACATATACACACACTCAACAGCGCAACAACTGCACAATGAAATTGTTTAAAAAAAATGCATGACCACCCTTAAGCATTTGCCAATAGAGGATGGTGCTTAACATGTTACAACACAATCACACAAGCATACATAATATAACGAAAAATGCGCGCAAAACGATAAACGAAAGCAAATTTGTAGCAACCAATTGTTGCACGCATATACAGGGTGTCAATGTTTGGCCGCGAGATTAAAATACACTGCCCAATCTTCTATATTTAATTTGAATTCAAACTTTTTTATATTTATTCGATTAAAAAAAAATCGCAAAAAATACATAAATTTGAGAATTTAAAACATCTGAGAAACATTCATACATTTTAAAAATTGCAAGTCAGGCCTATTCTGAATGTAACCAAAACGGTTGTTAACAAAAGTTCCCGTTTCAACTTTATTTAAAGGTTATGAAATGCTATGAGTACCATTGAAAACGACAGGAAGAATACATACATATATTTAGCGTCAATTAAATAATACCTCAGAAGTTTAAGACCTACGGTGCATGGAAATGTAAGCTTAAAAGCATCTACTAATTCTCATTATGCTTTATCTATAGTCTTATATTCCCTGAACAATTTAAAAATTAAGCCTAATATTGTAGATTTGCTGCACCGATATACCAGGTTTGCGTACAGCTACACCTTCACCATGTGGTAAAATTTCCAGCTCTTGTGAAGCACCATCGATAATGAGAGTGGCCGACTTGGGTATGCGTCCCAAACCAGCAATGACAACACGTTCAATCCAAGCGGCTGTCTTGAAATTTGGTTTGCCAATAAAGTTCACATCCAGCACGTTGTTTTCAAACTTCATATTGATGTAATTGTATTCACCCTTTCGATAATTGTATGATTTTTCATCGTCTAAATAAATTGTGCCCTCTGCCTTGCCAGCGCTATTCAGACACACAACCAGAGTATATGGGTCGTTCTTCATGAGCGTCGCAGCCCTGCGGATTCGTTCCTTTTTGGGTACAATTGTACCGCCGCGTTGGAAAACAGGAATCTGAAATAGAATTACATTTAATTTAAATTAAATATTTAGGATTTTAGCTATCATTCGTCAACTCACTTTATAGCTGTCCACTAGAATACTTTGATAGCCAGCGTTTGTATACTTTTTAAACGTATCTACATCGTACCACACATCGCCGGTCTTCTTGTCATCAATGGCTGGGAAGTAAACATTCACTTTGCTTACGCCCTGCTCCGTTACGGGGCGCACCAGCAGACGATCTTGCAACAGAAACTCGTTGTCAATAGTAAACCCTTCTTTATCTTTGGGATAGTGCGCTAGCAGAGGACGCACAACTGGTTCGCCAGTCAATTCGTGCTCATAGAACATTGTGTACCACAACGGCAAGTAGGAGTAGCGTTTGCGCAATGCATCGCGTACAACCAAACGTGTGCTTTCGGGAAATAGCCATGGCTCACGTCGTTTTGTGTCGATGTGTGCATGTCCACGGAAGAAGGGCAAAAAAGCACCCGTCTGGTACCAGCGTTCAAACAATTCTGCATCGGGATTACCAAAGAAGCCGCCAACATCGGCCCCACAGAAGGAGAAACCGGCAACAGCTTCAGATAGACACATTTTAATGGAATGCTGCAAGTGACCCCATTCCGCCATGTTATCGCCTGTCCAGATGAGAGCATAACGTTGTGTGCCAGCAAAGTGAGCGCGAGTTAAAATGAATGGGCGTTGGTTAGCATCACGATTCAGTAACCCTTCGAAAGTGCCCATCACATGCATGTGCCCGTACAAGTTGTGTACATCACGATGTTCCCAATTGCCATAATGCACCAAATCTTTTAACATTGTCACCTCAGGCCCATTGAATACAGATGGTTCATTCATGTCGTTCCAGATCATGACATCAGCTGTGACAGTTTTGAAATTTGACGGCAAATATTGACTAGCATAATAAGCACGCACCTCAGGATTAAAGAAGTCGGGATAGCTTGCAGATCCGGGCCAACACCAACCTTTCGAAAAAAGGAAAACAATGGAATTATTTGAATTTGATGCCAAGTATATAGTTTGGACAACCTTCGTAGTCATTGCCTTCGCGATTTTTTGTATAATAGCCACGTTCGGTGCAATCATTGTGAAAGAAATAGCCACTATCGCGTTTAATGTGAGGATCAATAATAACCACCAGATGACGGCCCACATCGGTCAAATTTTTAATCATACCAAGTGGATTGGGGAATTTAAATGGATCCCAAGTGAAGTACTTTTTGCCTTCGGTGTATTCAATGTCCAACCACATGGTATCCATGGGAATATCATATTCGTCGAATTTGGCCGAAACATCTTCCACATCACGTTCATCATTGTAGTTCCAACGGGACTGGTGGTAACCGAGTGCAAATATTTGAGGTAAAGGCGCGGAGCCAGTGAGCGATGTATATTGCTTGAACACATCGAGGGGAGTGGGGCCAAGGAATATAAATGTATCAATAATACCCGACTCAGACATGAAATGGGCGGCTGGTGGATCCGACTTGCGGGAGCCTTAAAGTAGATAAATTTTTTAAAATTAAATTGAATTGAAGTTAATTTCCTATTACCCGATACAAAGTTCACAATCGATGATACAACGTTCTTTTCAGCTGTGTAGATATCAACCCATGTCTCGGCCGCATTATGCCAGAAAACGCCAGCAGTGCGTTGAGTACTGAATAAATTAAGCTTTTAGTTTTCGTGTAACATATAGCCTGAGTTCCAAGTTACAAAAATGCAAAGCATCATCCTCTTTTATATCTAAACTATAATTGATGGAAATGTCCCACATGCGCAACCATGTTCGAATGCATAATTGGAGCTAAGTTGCGCAAATTGGGTTTTTCTATCAATTATGGTTTAGAAAAAAAGAGGATAATGCTTTGCAGTGGTGCAAATTGGAACGCACCCATAAGTTCTTCTAATTTATTTTGTATAGGTCTCTTACCCGTGGCCATAGATTACTGGCACCGAACCATAAAGGGCCATCTTACTGTCGATGATATATTCAAAGACGTCGACATTGTACAATCGGTAAGGGTCTGTACCTGATGTAGATTTTAGAGCAAAAGAGTCTGCGTGTTCAGGTATGCCGAATAGAACTTCTGCTTCTGGGAAAGAAAAATCGAGGGCAATAGCCTCAGGTCCGTAGGGTTTTGAATCATGATGTGATTTGAAATTCTCTTCCCATGCACCAGGATCATCGATTTCATAAGCCTCCTTTACTACATTGGCTGCAGGGTTTTCTGCATTCTCTCCCTCAGCTGGTTGTTGAGGCTTTGGACGCAAATGTTCAAAAGTCATGAGACCCTTAGCATTAACCGAAACGGTAAGAATGTCATTTTGATAGAAATCAACACGGAATGGATCAGCGGTGACAACAGCTTTATTTGGACCTGAATTAATTGTAAATTCGGTATCACCCTCGTGAACTTTAATGCTGAAAGATTGCCAAGTATAGAATTATATACATTTTATGCTTAAAATACGCACCTTCCAGGTTTCGGTGTTGATTTAAGAGCATCTTGAACTTTGTAGCGAGGCTTCAGGGGAGTTTTCTCATCCACAAGCAATCGAAAGGTGTTGCTCTGCTATTAAGCAATAATGAATAATTTATAGTATGAGTGCACACAATTCTTTACAATTTTCCAATAATAAATAAACAAATACCTCTAAAGCTTCTAACTTAAGGCTAAACAAATGTTTGTTATCCTTATGTATCAGATCGGCTGTTATGGAATCTGAGTAAGTATTGAGTGTCCCAGGTACCAAAGCAAATTTAGGATTATCTGGCTTCACTTTGCGGCATCGCCTTGAGTAATGAATACGAAATGTTAATACTTGCAAAGAAATAAATTCAAATTGTTTACCTGCAAAAACTGCTCTGATCACATGTTTTGAAATTCGTTTGGTCCACGGTCAGCGCATACTCGAATATGCAAAATATTAAAAGAAATATTGCCAAACGCATATTGACGTAGCTGCAGAAATGTTGCAATATGTATTACGTAAATTTAAAATTTTGGCAATTAACGTTAAAAAATAAGCAAAAATTAAAGCGTTGAACATGCAAGTTTCTATTATTAGAATTATTAAAAGCGACGACTTTTCACGTCCTCCTTTATTAAATGGTGAAAATAGAATGTAAGGCATGATTTGCGAGTTTCTGATTTATACCAATTTTGATTGCAAACGGCAGCCTTTATTATACATTACATACATACATATACATACATATACATATACATACATATGTAAAATAAAATTTTTTATATTAGAAATTGCAGATAAATGTGTGGGAAAATTTTTCATTATGAACCCAACTTTGGAGAAAAGTCGTTAAGTGGATTGGAACTCTCAGGAGGCTGATAAGCTTTTAAGTATATATTACATAAGACGCACAGCAGGTACTTTGTATGTATTAAGAGTTGTTAATTTAATTAACTATTAAAGGTGTACTTTAATGCATAAAAATTTATACTCGTGGCAGAAATAATAAATTCGTCTTATTTTACCAGTCTTGGCTATATTTCTTTGGTTTATTTCATGTTTAATATATTTTATTTTATAAAATTTTAGGCAGTTATACAACAAACACCATACAAATTATATAAATTCAACAAATTCTCACCCAAGTTTCAAATTTTTTACTCAGAATTTTTGGAAAAATTTTTGGTTTCCGTTTTAAAGTCCATTTAATTTTAGTACAATAAAATGCTACAAAATACCGTTGATTTATTGCAATTTATTTTTTGGCTGTTCTAAGAATTCTCTTCCATATAAAAAAAAATTATCGAACAGACTTTGTATGGAAAAAATGCGTGACATCAGCAAAAAAAAATTCCAAAAATCAACGGTATTTTGTAGCCACTTGAAACTTGCACTATAGAATAGTGCAGAATAGCAATTTTCAGTATTCTAAGCAAAAACACTTCAATTCAATACATATACAGTGAGCTTCCAAAATAAGTATACACGAATTTATTTTTATTTTTCATACCAATTAAAAAAATATGTATTTCTGTGTTCGTATGGAATAGTAGCTTATGTCGGGAAGCTGTCTTTAGTATAATGCGGCATTCCCTTTATTGTTTAAACCACAATTTCATGCAGGAAAAGCAAGAAATACCAGGAAATTTTAATAGAAATTTTAAATTTTTAAATTCGATTTCTTAGGAAAATTTGAGAATGTAGCCCTTGGCAAAAAAAATTTAAAAAACCAACGGCAATTTTTAGCGATTTTAAACTTATACTAAAATTTAAAGTGCTACAAAACTGCTTACTCAATATTTTTCTAAGAAGTCAAGTTGGAAAGTTGAAAATTTCGATGCAAATTTTTAGAATTTTCCCTAATTTTTTACGAAGCTAAACAATTGTTTCCTGATGTTTTTGCTGTTGAATGAACTAGATAATTTTTTATAAAACAAATAGGAAAAATTTGGTATGGGAAATATAAATAAATACTTATCAGGCTATACTTATTTTTGACGTTTACTATATATATATATATGTACTTTTTTAAAGAAAATTTTCTAAGTATAATTTGGACATTTGCCTGTCATTAAAAGACTATTAGTGCTGTGCAGCCGGATAGCCGACTGGAAATTGTAATGGCTTTCACCCAATCTGGCGCGCGGTTTCAAACATTTCCTGCCGGCAAATCGGCGACCGGAACGTGTGGAACTGGCCTTAGAAATACAACATATAGCTATATATCTTATTGGCAACGCTTTTTTAATTAATTTATTGTGCTTCCTACATTAAAATGCATTAAAGTTTTCATAAAAATAAGACTTACATTTTACTTTAACCTGCGGTTTTCTAAGATAAGTGCCACAAGCTTTAGAATCTTTTACCTATAATAACACTACTGGTGCTAGGAAATGTACAGGTTAGACAGTAGAATGACTCTATCCTATGGTGTACATTGCTAATATTAACTCACAATGGAACACCAATATGTTGGAAATGAACGATGGTAGCACCTTTATCTAGGAACGTTTCGCTATTTTTGAAGACACGTCAGATATACTATTACCTATAGGTTAACTATACATAGTTTGTATCTTCATATATACATATGTACATACATACATATGTACATTCCGACTTGATGTGCATACAATTCGCGAAGATATCTAAAACCTCCTATGGAAATATTTTTATTTTACTAGTTTGCCCTTAGAACACATGTTACCTTAAACGTACTTTTGAGTAATATAACAAATTTTCTAGGTGTTAAAAGCAATAAAAACGTATCGTCGCCGGTATTGATTTTTCCAATTTAAAATAAATGCTTTTACTCACCAATACTAATTATGCCTTCTTGTATCAGTCGCTTTTTTAAAATCACTTTAGGTACGTTTTTGTTTATTTTTTCTTTAATTTTCCACCTAAAATTATTAACCTATCTGCAAAAAAACGTTGTAACAAAAAGAATGCCAGCAGCGGAATTTGCTAGAGATGCGCAACAGTCTGCGAAACTGTCAATCATATAAGTGCTAGAAAGTTGTGCAAATCGAAGTTTGCACACTTCAACGTATTTAAAAAAATAATAATAAAGGCCATATATGAAAAGCTATACTATTACTGCGTGATTCATAATTATTATTGATTAGCTTTTTGTATAACAATTAGTTTTAGAATCATGCTATTATCGTATGTGTTGGCTTTTCAGTATACACATACATATATGAAACTAAGTTGTACAAATCGGAACTTGCACAACACTAAACCCGATAAAATCGATAACGATGTTTACAAGTGGTGTTTTTGGCCTGACAACAAAAAGGAAGCACCTGCGAACAGCTGACGGGTGACAAACAGATGACAGTTGTTTCGTGGGCTTGTTTCTTTACAAATAATTCGATATCCGTTTCTTTACATTTGTAACTATTATTAGGGATTTGGTTGAAGCGAGAGCACTCTGTCAATATGTTAGTACTTGGCCGAGTGTCTCCTCCGATTTGTTGTGTGCGCCTTGATGTTGTCACACAAAAGGACAAGACCTACAGTTTTACGCTAACTCGGAACGGCGATAGTATTTGTATGCGAAGTTTTTTTTTTGTGTCAGATATATCTTGACATTTGTCTTTGCCTAATCGCTATAAAAAGTGTTTATTTTCTTTGGCCCGTAGTCATAGTCAAAATAAAGTCGACTTTAAAGTTAGTTGCAGCTTTTTTGACAGATATCCCATTGAAAATTATGTCAAAAAGCTGCAACTAACTTCAAAGTCGACTTTATTTTGACTATGACTACGGGCCTTTGTTTTTTGTGGCCCTGCGAAATGATAGTGCGCAGTTCTAACCGCTACAACCACAGCAGCCGCCAACTACCATTGCGATGGCCATTGACGAATTGGGGATCTTGGTGAGATAGTTATCTTATTGACCGTAATTTACTCAAACCAGCGATGAAGTTTTAGAATTTCAACTACTCACACTCCATTCACTTATGTTTGAAGCTTGAAACATATTGGATGTGACGGAACCACAGCTGTCTAATTATTTCCACACTACCCCATGATTCAATAATTAAATGTTTGCTCATTATTGACATTCGAGTTTTGACACTCCCTTAACTCTCTTACATGGGCGTAGCCAGGTAGGGGCTGGGGGTGCTCGAGCCCCCCTAACTTTCAAATTTTCCATATATATATTTAAAATAGTACCCTGAAATTCCAGCTTAATAGGGTCGAGCCCCCCTAAATTTCATTCTGGCTACGCCGATGCTCTCTTACAAAAGCTTTGGACTCACACACGAACCCACACACAGTGCCTTGCTAAGGGAGCCGATTTTGCCAAGAGGGAGCGAGAAAACTGTTTTCTGAGCAAACCTTTTATTATTGAATCATGCGCTTACACCACGCCTCCAGTCAACAAAACTCTATCTCGCTTGCGAGAGAAAAATACAGAACGCAAGCGCGATTTGCAAGCATGTGAAGACGGCCGGATAACATTTCATTTTCAAAATGGCATCAAGCTAATCAGTAGCCGGATTCCAGCTAATTTTGATCGCTAAAAATCGCCAAAAGAATAGCAGGCAATTGTCAGAATTCCAATGAAAACTGAGTTGCCAGACTATGAAAGGATAGTTGATGTTAAGACAGCGATGGTAAGGAATTCAAAAAGACAGATATGTTTTAACAGTGGAAATTTGCGGTCTCCATCTACACACGTTTCTGCCTTAACATACATACCGTTTTTAATAGAATCTATAGAAGGTGGAGACGTGGAGATATGTAGAATATTATTTTTACGAAAATTAATAAAGTGTATTGCTGCAGAAGTCGTGCTGTACTGCAGTTCGGCAGAAAAAAAAACGACTGGGAGTCGCCCTAGTTAAGGGGCCGACACTGACGTTAGTACTTTTCCCTTCGATGTAGGCAAAGCGTATATTTATCCAACAAACCTAGTCAATGTTCACTATCGATTTTACAGGAGTTATTTAATAATTAAGGAATTGCTTTCCGCCTGCAATGAAATCGAAATCAATTATAAATAAATTTATTGAATTTTTCAAGTTTTGTAGGGATCTCAAATACGTACAGGCCGATTAACAGCTTTTCCTAGAATCGAAGGATAGGTTAGGTAAACGGTGGGTAAGGTAATGAGGGGGAAGCTAGGGGAGAATGACGACACCTATGGCTTTTTGTAAGAGAAATATTCCGTGCTCGCAACGAAGCTCTTCAATCAACTGATGTCCATTCCTGAGATCCAAGGTTCTTAAACCTTAGGGCTCGCAAAAGCAGGGCACCAGAGCAGCAGGTGTTGAGATGATCCCACCTCATCGTCCTCCATGCAGCTGGTGCAGTAAGGGTCATCAAGGGCATTCAGCCTTACGGCATGGTTGCCAATCACACAGTGACCAGTAAGCACTCCCACCAATAGTGAGTTATGCAGCTTGCTTAGTCTCAAGAGCTTCCTAGGCCGCCTCCGGAGAGGGCAGAAGGATTTTGCCACCTTGCATTCCAAGGTCATCGCCCAGCGCTCGCTGAGCTGACTAAACGCCCATCCAACCAGAAGCAGACCACACGAGGTCAGGGGAGTCCCCAGACCCTCCCTATCCGGAAGTAGTTCCTCGAGGGTTCCCTGTCTTACGAGCTCATCAGCCATATAGTTGCCTGCAATTTCGCTGTGACCTTGAACCCAAATAAGCTTATTAGAGAAATAATCAGACGCGGTCGATAAGGAAGTCAAACACTCACCCATCTTTTTCGAACGCACCGTCAGGGAGCCAAGAGCCCTGATGGCTACTTGGCTGTCAGAATAAATATTCACCTCCTTAAGAGATATTACACTAGAGAGCAACCAATCCGAAGCCTCTTTTATCGCGGCCACCTCAGCCTGGAAAACGCTGTAGTGATCCGGTAACCTAAATTTCAGGTTTGTAGAGAGTTCTTCGCAGAAGACACCTCCACCCACCTTGCCATTCAGCTTCGACCCACCCGTAAATAAGTTTACAGGTCCTCGATTCCAGATACTGCACTCCTCCCAGCCTCCTCTCGCTGGAATGTGGGTGTTAAAAGATCAATTCGAACCCAGCACCGGCATGCAGTGGTCTGTCCGCGTCGGTAAGAACCGGAAGCCTTAGCACAGCAGCAGCCCTGCCAGCTGATTCCAATTAAGGCGGCTCTTTGCACCTTCTCCAGCTGCTCGACGATGTTGGGCTTGTCAAGTGCGTTCCACCAGACGAGTACCGCATATAAAAAAATTGGCTTGATAATAGTTTCATAAAGCCAATGAACTACCTTCGGCGAGAGGCCCCAGCGTTTGACAATGGCCCCTCTACAACAATACAATGCTGCTGTAGCTTTATTGACTCTCTCCTCTACGTCAGGCTTCCAGGAAAGCTTAATGTCAAGGATCAAGCCCAAGCACTTCACCCTGTCAGAGAGCCTTAGAGGAATACCACCGATTGAGGCATTCGAAACTTACCTTAAAATCTGATGTAAGGTAACAAACCTTCTTAAATATAATTTGATAAAATGCCGATTTTAATTTATGATTCGAGATTAAAATCATCATTAATTTATTAACACATAATGTTCTAGCACTCAATATCTGCCTTATACATATATATGTACATTCAACTCTATTTATTTATGTACATACGAAACAACTTTTTAACATCTAAAATTTAGTATTTAATCAAATTATTTACGGGAAAAGAGCGTCTCAATCCCATACATTTTTCACGATCAATAAACAATGCATTCACTTTGCGCCGCAAATCAGCCTCGAGTGTTGAGCGAGTTTTTAGCAGATTCTGATGCTGAGCCTCGGCTTCTTGCAACTTATGATGCAGCTGTTTAACAGTATCCTGTAGATCCTGTACTTCCTGCACCAAACGCAACTGTGCCCAATCCCTGGATTTCACAAAAAGAAAATTGGGTGAGAATAAAGAGATGATTATATAGAAGAGCATTGTATGTAGTTAGCCCTAGCTCATTCTGACAAATTAAAAAAAAAAAAAACATTAAATTATAACTTCCCACCAAGTTAAAGCTTAAATATCGTCACCGTCAACGCAAAAAGCCCTATTTGACACTTTTTCGGGAATGCATACCCCGTTATTTTTTTTCAAAATATCAAAGCTGTATCTTAAGAAATACCAAATTTTTTGGCATCTTTAAAACAGTATTTTCTTTCTTGTATTAAATTAAAACTCGTTTCTTTTATAAAATTTCAAATTTGTAAGTAAATATCGTCACTTGGAGCGCAATAACTCATGTTTAGGCTACTACCAACACCACGCACCTAAATGCGACTATGCTCTGCTGTAGGTGTAAAAATTTCCTTTAATGTTAAAAAATAGGCCCAAAATTTATATACAGTCAGCGCCAAAAATATGAGAACCCTGACGTTTTGACGAGTTTATTTGTTTATGTTTTCAATACAAAATTTTACTTATTTTTTTTTTATAAAAATGTGGTTCTTTCTGCTGCAAAAACTACAAGAATCATTTTTTTTTTTATTTCAAGTCAAGTATAACCTCAAGACATAGTATAACCTCATGTAGCCCTTCAGGCCTAAAGAAATATAGTAGTTTCAGGGAAGTGTGAATAGGTGTAGCATCTAGCTGCAGCTCTCCTATATGTATGTGTTTGTCTACTTCTGGCTAATTCCCAGTGCGGTCATTTGATTTGAGACCCTGCCAGTATACCTGTTTAGTGTGACTTTTTTTGGGTTGTAGCTTCCTACACGTTTTTAGCGTGCCGTATCCCACGCTAGTTTTTCTAATAGGCTCTTGCTACAAATTACATTGCCGCATATCCTATACTTAAAAGATGCTGAGGTAAATCCCTATAGGAGTGGAGATCATTTTTTGAATAGTATGTGAACCACCTGTGGGTGTGTGTGACCTAAGGGTACTATCAAGAATTTTCTGGTTCCAAGCAGTTTTGCTGCTATGTTCGGCCTGAAACATTCAATGACGTCCGATAAACTAGAAAATCAGACC